AGTGAAGGATCCCAAAGCAAATGATTTACCTTATTCAGGGATCATTTCACTCAACACAAGAAAGCAAATGCCTCTGGGCTGGAATGTAGCAGCTGCTGTTTAACATCAAAACAGTCAAGATCTCAGGAGAGGAAATTAGATAGAATACAAATTTCAACTGAAACAGTAAATTCAGAAAGGTCTATAACTATGCAAGTTGGGATTGAATTCTAACACACGTGGAAAGTAACACAAAATCCATATCTCCACAACTCACAATTAAGACCATTTTATTTCCACTGTTTTTTCTCTCTGAGTACCCAAAAAAATCTTACCTGTAGTGGCTACCAAGCTTTAAGCTTTGCTTTGCTTTACTCATCACCTCTTTTTCTGCCACCACAAATCCCATAGGAGAGAATGGAGCCAGCCTGGCCTTTATGTCACACCCTTTGTTCACTGCCTAGCTCTCCTCATTTTCCAACTTAAGTATGTCATGTAAACCAGAAATTTGTGGGGGCAGCTCGTAGTGGGGAAATATTGTTAAGAAGGAAAAAAAAAGGGGGGGGGGGCATTAGGATTCCCTACAGATAACAGCACTGATTTGCTCTTACTTTCCACCATTATATATCTCTCCCTTTACCTGGCAGCCTTAATTACTCATAGAAACTCATTCTCCAACAGCATATTGGTTTAATAATAACAAACAATTGCCCATCTCTTCTTTTAGAAGTATCATGTAGTTTCGATCCAACAACTCTTCCGTAGAGAGAGGTGGTTACCCGTTAGTTTGAATTCAGTTAGAAGGCAGAGCAGCGTAGCACCTTAGTGACAAACTGCAGTGTCGAAGGAGCACTGCGTAAGGGCATGGCCCTTGATGTCTGCGACAGCTGAAATTATGTCTGTGTGATAAAGGTGCTTGCTGAAGGCCCTATGAAGTTTAGACCAAGTGTTTTTCTGTATTTGTTTAGATATTAAGCTATATGTTGTTGCTAAAGGCCTAATTAAAGTTTAAGATGTAGTGAGGCCTTGTATAAAGTAAGGCCTAGTAAATTTAGCAAAGCCTTGAAGTAGTAAGGCCCCATGGCGTAGTTAAAATTACCTTATCAAAAGAATGCAAGGCTTGTACTGCTAATTGGCCAGTCTAAGGACAGTTGAAGTAAAAGGAATCTGAGTGGTTGTATGTTATCAGAACCATTCAGAAGCTTTAAATTGGCTGGAATATCTGGAAACCATTCAGAAGGAAGATACAGCTCTGTGAAAAGGATTAGTTAGCTGTTACCTGGATCAGTGGGCCCATGGACCTTGAGGAGCCCAAGGACTGCATTCCAGGGTCCTTCCCAGTACTCCTTTGGACAGTGCTGTTCAGGGATGCCTGACTTCGCTGAACTTTGTGGAAAGAGAAGCTTGCTGTGTATCAGGCATCAGAGGGGACTGCCAATAAGTTGCCGACGCGAATTGCTTTTGTCTGTCATTGTTTGTTTTGTTACTACGCGTAGTTGTGTTTTTGTTAAGTCAATAAATCTTTCTTACCTTTCTACCCCTGACCATACTCTCAATCCCAAACCCTTCACAGGCGGCTGGGACAGACGTCCTGATGATTTATACCTGTGTGTTGTTAATCGGAATGTCCCAACCTTAACTAATCAGACTCTAGCCACAGCCCAGTTTCTCATCTGCCACGACTTGATGGAACTTTTCCTTTGGGAGGTGATGTTATAGTATGAGTCTTATTGTTATTGTGTTAGGCTCACTCCTACTGGGGCTCCAAGCTCCCCTCTTACCCAAACTTACGTCAACTAGCTTTATTTTTATTAGCAAGTACTGTCAGGACCTTATTCACTCAATCTTCCTCACAGTCCGTTTTATCACTGGGCTGCCTGTCATCACACTTTAAACTAGTTGCCTTTATCGTGGAAGGCTGTCCCAAGCATGCCCCAAAGGGGTCAGACACTGGTGGGTATTTCCCACTGGGACTAGTAACCTTGACAAACCTCTTTACTGGGTTTGAACCTAGGTGGGTCCCTCTATACTCAGTCCTTCTTTGCTCTTATATTTTTCTTTTCTTTGGCTCTAGGTTTTAACTTGATCAGTCACAGTGAGGATTCCTCCCATCATCAAAACAAAGAAAAAAACTGGGAAAAGAACAAAACACAGGAACCTTCACTTTTACAGCTCCACAGGGGTCAAACAGTCTCTGAATCTCATAACAGAAGAATCACAAAAGATAGAAAACTTCCCTGTGTATTCTGGTCTTTCCTCTGCAGTCCCTTGGCTCCCAGGACTTTAACCCTCAATGCTGCCTTGCTTGATGCTGCCCTATCAGAGCTCCTCTGAACTTACTGACCGGGACCAGGTCTCAAAGCCCATTCCCGGCGTTCAGTATCATCAACTTCTATTGAGAGCCTCTGTCTTGCCTCAGTTCTCTCCTCTCATTGCTCTCTCTCTCTCTGGAGGGAGTTTCTGGCCGGAAGTAGCCCCAAGATCCAGTGGGGATCCAACCTGGATCACTCAGTGCCCTGGTGAACAGAGTTCCGGACATGCTGGAATGGCCTTCCTCAGCATCGTGACTGCGCCTGCTGGTAAGTCCAGGTGAGGATCTTCCTTTTTTTCTAAAGAGTCACCATGAGCCTTTTCACAGCAGGCAGCCATCACCTCCAAAAGTTTATGCCTCTAGGAAGCAGTTAGTTTCTAAGGGTGCCTATACACGTGCAGCAAGGCTGCTCCAATGTGCTGTAATTACAGCACATCAGAGCACACTCGATAAATTGAGTCTGCTGGAGCATGGTAATTACTGTGCTCTAGCAGACTCCAGCATCTCAAGTATCAGCGTCTCTGCGCTGAAAAATGGTGTCAGGAGCGCTTTTACTAAAGCGTGTTTGATGAGCTTTAGTTAAAATGCCCTTGCACAAGATGCTCCAGGTGTTTTATTTACAGCAGCTTTAACTGCTGTAATTAAAGCGCCCCTTCACGCCCAGATGTGAGGTTAATCACATCTTAACTGGCTAATCACATCTTAAGTAGTGACCTGGTCACACATTCATTCAATTAATGGCATGATAAAATGGGGAGTAAGCCACAAAGTTATTACACAAAATATACGTTGCTGGTTCCTATCATACCTTTAACTGAACATGTGGCCAGTGCTCCTAGCCTCTGGAGTGTACCAGAGCCTAAAGCATTTTTGGACACCCCAAAAAAGAAATGGTACTATAAGGGACTAGTTCAGTAGTTAACCTGATAAGGTATTGGTAGTAAACTTGGGCAGATGTTCCTAGTAAAGAGTTTTTCTCCTATTACAGCAAGGTTCCCAATCTACAACACATAGTAGAACGTACTAGCATTGCTATTGCTGGTGTTGCCTATACAGAGTGATTTTTAATTAATTTCACCTCCAATAAAATTACATCATGACAATTCATCACCTTCTCTCTTGATCTATCCTGAGGTTTCAGTATCCAAGTACTCAGACAATAAAGAGGACCATTAAAAAGATAGGTAGGAAGCTAATGGTTGAAGTGATTTGGGGTTCTCAAACATGTTTAAAGCCTCCTGATATCAAACACTGTTAGACAGATATGAGTTGGAATGCCTCCCCATGGGGTCCATCCAAGATTGCTGTTGGCTTATGAAAATGAAATGAAGGCAACCATGAGGAAAATCCTTTCTCCTATTTTTTCTAACCTTGTAAAATACCAGCAGCTGTAAGAGCAGAAGCGGGAACAATAAGGGAAGCTGCATGTATTATGGGTAAAGAGACTGAACTTAACATAGGGCCTCTTTACTTTAAGTAACTCAAGAGGGAACTACTGATAGAATGTCATATGCATAAAAATCAGTGCAGTGCAATTATGTGTTTTTTATTTAATTATTTTATTGTTATTATTCTAGTATTAGCAGATAATTCTATATTGGAGAGTTCCTACATAACTCCAAAGTGTTAACATTAAAGCACCACTTTTAAAATCCATAGAATCCCTACATTCCATTAAACCAATCTCTTTCCAAGCTGTAGAGCATAGGATACGATCAGCTGTTTCACTTAATTTTGACATCACTGGTGTAAATCAGGAGCATCTCCTTCTAAGTTCATAGAATTACGTAGATCTTGTTATTAACCTTATGTTTGGCATTTATTTGTAAATAAAGATCTGAAAGGGCATGTCTAGGCCATCCTGACATGGTGTTGGGAAGTGTCTTTTCTGAGCCACAATACATCTGCTCCACACACACTGTCTCCTGAGCCAGAAGTAGTTTATGCTGTTTAGTGCAGTGTTAGGCCCATGCCCATAAATTCTGTTTTTCAGAGCCCCCCTATGATGCACTTTCAGCACTGAACTAAACTTGCTAACTAGCTACATTAGTTTTGGTATAGTGACCTCTAATGCTGTGCTGGGTCAGTATTAACATGCCCTAAAGAGTGGAGAAACTGTTCATAATTGCATTTAGTTCCATATGTATTACTTTCTATCATATATATATGAGGTTCATGCGTGCATGCGTGTGTGTGTGTGTGTGTGTGTATGTGTGTGTGTGTATAAATAAATACAATTATACGTTAGAATTATACTATACCTTGTTAGATTAAGTAATATCAATTACATTAATTATAAATATATTTTTAAGAGTCTTAAAATGTTCCCTTTGGATTGTAAAGACATCAATGTGCATAAGCATTATAACTCTGTTTCCATGATTGTATATTCTTTATCTGGACTGCAGTCTTGTTCTAAGTATAACCTAGACATAAACACAGCTCCCTGGAAAGCTTTAGTGTCTTCACTGTAAATCACATATTCTAAAAAAATATTGCTACAGAAGACAGGCTAGCTCACATGAATGGTATCAATGAGATCTGAAAAATAAAAATGGCTGAAATTTTGGAGAGACTGCAGTGCCAGTTAGGCCTCACTCCACATTCAGCTGAACAGAGGCTGGTCCCAGGTGTGTTTTATTCTGATTTAAATAAAAGGAAGCTCTAAAGCAGCTGGAAAATGTAGAGAAATACAGCTTCCTTTACTCACCTGTGAGAGTCTCCTTTACCAACTAAGGCTTTTCCCTTTTGCAAGGCATCAGTTGTACAGGCTTTAATCTCTCCCTGTAATTCCTCATGCTTCATCGCTAAGATAGGCAAACTTAATCCTTCTTCATTAAGGAGCTTAATGTAAGCCTCAATACCTCCAAGAACATCAAATGCCTGCCAAATGAAAAAAATAAAACAACGTATTTTTCAGGGTCAGAGTGAAGCTGTAGCCATGATGGTCTAGGAAATATGTGAGGGGCAAGGATTTTTGTGGGTTCTCTCTCTTATTGGACCACCTGCATATGTAGAATAGATTTAGAGAAGTTTTTGGATGCAAGGCATTCTTCTTCACACAGTTTTACAGAAGCAGTCACACCAATGGAATTCTAAGTCTGAACAATAATGGCTTGAGAGCAATGCAGACAAGTGTGTATCAGGAAAGCAGCTCTTTTTGAAGCATAGCACATTTCTCAAAAATCAATGGGACATAGGACTGTGTTTTACCTCTACTCTAAAAATTAACTTTCTACAAATAACACTGCAGAATTCCACATTGCTTGCTTGCTTGGTTTCTTAAAGGGAGGCTTTTATGTCAACAAGTTCAAGCAGAGAATTCAAACCTTTTCCCCCAGTTCAGCCAAAGGTAAAGCTTGGGATCTGGCATCGAAACAAAGTTCTTCCAGTTTGTACCTCAGAACTACTAATAATTAATACTACATTGGCCAATTCTGTTCTTGATTATATTCAATTTGTAGTCATTTTTTGCCTTTGTACACTTCATTCACCACAAACAAAAATGGTAGGTTTGTTCTATTTGCCTGTTCTTTGTTTTCTTTCTCCTATGAAAAGCTTTCACCAGAATTAATATCCCATTTTACATATATACAAGGCTGGGATGGGAGAATTGGGGGGTATATATTTGTTATATGAAGTGGTCAGAAGACTTAAGGCTATGATTGACTTTACTCAGGTGAATATTCCATTGTTTACAACTAGTTAAAATAGGTTGCTGAACCAAGGCTTTTGAAAGAAGTGGAAAGACTCCTGAAGAAGTGTTTGTTAAAGAAACTACATTTTAAAGAGTAATTTTAATATAGTACTTTAAAGTGTTATTAAATCAAAAAATCTTTGAAACAGACTCAATGTTTAGTTAATTAAAAGAGGTCTACAATGATTCTAAAACATTTACAGAACTAGAATGAAATCAGCAAAACAGAATCTTTTAAAAGTCAAATTTCAAATAGGGTCTAAGAGCTATCTCAGCTCAACTTCTACAATATGCTATATATGACTGAAAGAAGCAACTGAGACCTTTAGGTTCTGAGCCAAAATAATAACTATTGATCCTTAAATGCCAAAGAGGTCTATTCCCCTTCAACAGCAAAATCTATAGGTAAAAATAAAAGCCTTGACCGGATGTGGTCTTAGAAGAACAGATGGAAGGAAACAAGAAAAGATGAACAAACGCAGCTCAATTGAAACTGAAGAAATTGAATACAGTATTGCTTTTACAGTGAATCCTGTTTATAACAAGCTACACCATTTAACAATTCCAACAGAAGGAACTAATTTTTTTCATTAATATGATGCAGCACACTGACTAACCCTATTATACAGAGCACCCTTTAGAGAAGCTTTATGGTGGGGGCATTCATTATAAAGTAGTTGTATTGTATATTGCAATAGAATAAACTTACCATTTTATTACTTCTTTTAGAACTTTTTTTGCATAAATGATTCAACATTAATAAATGTAAATTACCTTGACTGCACCATGAAAGCTTGCTATGAATACATAATTCAATTACTTTTTGTCCCATCTGAAGGGAATTAAAATGTGTATAAAGCAAGTCACAGAAAGTGAAATCTTTTTTTTTTAACCTGTGCTTTACTATAAATAAATTCATCCATCATCAAATCAAGGCACTAATTAAACACTTCAGAGAGATTTTCTTCTTAAGATCCTTCAACAGAACTGAGCCTCATGATATGGGCTAAGAAACCACATGGAGTTTATTTATTACATGTAACAAATTACACATAAGGAATTCAATTCCTGAGGACCATATTGAAGAGATTACATTTACAGAGGCACAGGAAAGTGATAAAACATTCCAGCACATATAGTTTTAAGTTAAAATTCCAACAGGTTGAAAACTGCAAAAAGAGAAGGCCTCTGTTAAACTTCATACAAATACTGGTAGATTATATGGCTCAGATTTGACATAGATATAAATGCTGTATTTGTTTCCTGAAAAAAACACTGGGGGAAATGTAAAAGGAAAAAATATGCCTGAAGTGATGTATAAATCATTGTACTGTGTTCTAGATGGGAGACTTTTTTGAAGATGACCAAGAGAAAATCCAGGCAGGTCCCTTACTAGACAGATTTGAATGCCCGACGTGTTTCTCTTCAAGAATTCATGGGATTGTATTGCTTACAGTTTCAACTCTGTTGCTAATTTGATCGAGGTATGGCTGCTACTGCATGCAGAGATTCTTATTTACTCATGCTCAATTTCAGTGACACATGGGAAGCGACTCTTCACTAAGACATTATTTGGATTGATTTTTCCATAGCAGCTGCAGTCTTGTCTGGCAATCCTGTACCCTTCCTATTCTGCTATGGTTTCAAGAGCTCTGTCAAATCAATATAAAACAATCCATGCAGAGCTTAAAGTCTCTTTTCAAATATTAGCATTAGTGTCAAACATTTAAATCAGGGTGTCAAAGATACAACCCATGGAGCTGTTTCAGTCAGCTCTTAGACTCCTATAGAAGCCAGGGTATGCGACCAAACTCCCAACTAAAAAGCTCTATTTGGGATGCATGTTGGCAGCGGTGCATAGGATGTGAGCAATGGCTGTGTTAAACCCCAAACCATTACCTCCACCACCATTTACCTCACCATGGTTCCTGGTTCTGGATCTCAGTCTGGATCTGGCCTGTGAGTAGCTTCCAGGGTGGATCTGGTCCAGAGCACAGGTTAGTTTGACACCCCTGATTTAAATTGTTCATTCATACATTTCCCCAGCAGCTCCAAGCATGGAATTGCAAAAGAATTTTACAAATACTCCTTAATCCTTTAAAGCCCCTAGCTGGTGTGTAACATTTTATTCCTGTATCACAGATGAGAGAGAAATTTAATTTCCAATAGGGAAAACTAAGCAATTTACATGGAAGTTAGTGGCAGAGCTACTTGAATTCATTTGACTTCAGCTTCCAGCTTTTGGGTATCTGATTAAATAATAATTTACTACTTGGAATTTTCTGCCTGGGAAGCCACTTCTAAAATGAAATCAAACCTCTCAGTCTTATTTTTTATACAAACAAATTGGTCTCCTTTAGTCTCTCACTGTAAGGCAATTTCTCCAATCTTCATATCATTCTTGTGGTCTTGTGGTCTAATTTTTCAATCTCCCCAATTATTGATTTCCTAAAGTATGTTTGGGAGGGATTATACAAAATTGAAGGCAATCAGGGCTTCTACTTTATCAAAAGTGGTTTACTGATAAATATGATTAATATATTGGGTCCGAGTATTTCATTAATATTTGACTACGTTACCGACCAATTTGAATAAGTAAAAAAATGTTAATGTTAAACTTGTAAAATATTTCTTATATTTTCAACTGTGGTGACAAAACTTTCAGTCAGAAGATTTTACATATTTTACTACTGTACTTCTGCTGTACTACCAGACAGTGTACTAAAAGAAAGACTCATATTTTATATGGCATATTATACATTTGCATAACTATATAACCGCATTCTCATTGATTATCTGTGCACATGAATATACACATATATAGGCATACACATCAATCAATGAATGACTGAAAAGAAATCCTTACTAATTTTATATATCACAGGGGGAAAAAAGATACTAAAAGAGTATCTTTTTAAGTTACAAAGTCAAATATTCAGAATTTAAGAAATGACACTGTTGAGACCGTGGGTACAACCTTAATCCAGCATCTTTTTAAGTTTGCATTTGGATGCAGCTTTAATAATGTGGTATAATTATTATAGGTCAAGCCCTTTGTATCCCATTTTAAGTAGAACCCTCAGATGACAAGTTTTGCTAGCTTCTTGCTTTCCCAAGTGGAATCCTATTACTATTCAAGTGGGTTTCTGAGCAACAGCCATTCTGTTTATCATGACAGGCCCAACTGTATTTAGCACCTATAAGAAACTTCCCTGTATGAACCACTTACCAGTGGCTAATAAAAGAGCCTCAAAACAGATTCTTCAAACATATTTGTTATACACCTAATACTATGTGCCACATGGCATCAAACTGACACCCACAGGGGTCATTAGAAAGTATTGGAAGCATTAAATCCATCTCATAGATACCTCTGCTTCTTGAGCTAATGGAATGAATAATAACACTATTATCATCCCCTGTAAACCAACAGTAAGAGAGCATGAGACACTTTGCCAGTAGGTTTTACAGGTATTTGTTAACTGTAGGGAAGTGGTGAGACTCAGGAATATTGGTGTTTGTTGCAGGCTGTGAAGCTTTGGCACATTTCATCCTTTTGCCAGGTGTTCTCCAACCTCTTCTTTTCTCATTCTTGTCCCTTTCTCACCATTGGCTTTTTGTTCCAGTCCCATTTTCCACACTGAGCCAGCCCTAGCCTCCATTCCTGAGTTTTATCATCCCAGGTTTTATAATCTCACTGCCCAGCAAATTCTTTTGTTCCAATCCCTGTATCATATCTCACTCTTCCAATCCCATTCTTCTTGTCCAGTTATCCAGAGCTCCTCTGAAGCCATAAGCTCTTCATCAAGCCAGTCTCTCTTCTCTGTTTCTCCTTCTAACTCCGTACCTAGCAAGACTTTCTTCCCCACTATGACTGTCCGTCATCAGGATGACCTCTATCCCACATCTATGCATGCCCTACATCTTCACTGGCTCCCAAGAAACAACTCAGTCCCTGAGGAACTTTTCTAGTCTCAGTGTCTGATCTCTCCTGTAGTTCCCTGTCCTAGTTTTTCTCCATCAAGTTTTAAAATCCCTCCCTTTTCCTGGGTACCTCATCAGATCTGTCTTCTTCACCTGTTTAAACAGTTCTCAGCCCCAGTCCTCCACCCAGCTTCTCTCCTAATCTCCATTTTACCACAACTACTAGCTCTCATCATTCCTTGCTTCCCCATCTAGTTCCCAG